TTTTTACAATAATAGCATTTTTTGTTCATCTATATTTGTAGACATCTACATTTGTTTCCGTTTTAAATCAATTCTCTTTCCCCTCTTTCTTCCGAAAAACAATTTTATATATTCTCCGGGAAAAATTTATTTTTGGGATTTTTTTTGGAATTTTTTTTTTTTTTTTTTTTTTTTTTTTTTTTTTAATAGGATGTACAAGCGCCCGCAACGCCAGAAACCCCTCGTGGTTTAAACGAGTATGTTCCATTTTTTACAATAATAGCATTTTTTGTTCATCTATATTTGTAGACATCTACATTTGTTTCCGTTTTAAATCAATTCTCTTTCCCCTCTTTCTTCCGAAAAACAATTTTATATATTCAGGAATCTCTGAATATGTTGTATTGTCTCTCGATACAAAAAAAAGTTGCAAACTTTTTTATTCCGCGAATATTATTTAATTTCGCAATCAAAAGTTGTAAGTTCGCGAGAGAATTCATATTCGAGATTTTTTGTGGAATTATTTTTCTTTTTTTCTTTTTTTTTTTTTTTTTTTTTTTTTTTTTTTTTTTTTTTTTTTTTTTTTTTTTTTTTTTTTTTTTTTTTTTTTTTTTTTTTTTTTTTTTTTTTTTTTTTTTTTTTTTTTTTTTTTTTTTTTTTTTTTTTTTTTTTTTTTTTTTTTTTTTTTTTTTTTTTTTTTTTTTTTTTTTTTTTTTTTTTTTTTTTTTTTTTTTTTTTTTTTTTTTTTTTTTTTTTTTAATAGGATGTACAAGCGCCCGCAACGCCAGAAACCCCTCGTGGTTTAAACGAGTATGTTCCATTTTTTACAATAATAGCATTTTTTGTTCATCTATATTTGTAGACATCTACATTTGTTTCCGTTTTAAATCAATTCTCTTTCCCCTCTTTCTTCCGAAAAACAATTTTATATATTCAGGAATCTCTGAATATGTTGTATTGTCTCTCGATACAAAAAAAAGTTACAAACTTTTTTATTCCGCGCGAATATTATTTAATTTTAATAATTATTTAATTAATACATAAAATGTATCCATCATATATTTATGCAAGCTGCAAATTGTGAAAGTGAAATGAGCATTGACAGCTTGCACAGTTTCGAAAAAAAATTTTTGTCATCGGAGCCTAAAATTTCCTCTTTAAAAAATTCAGATAACTTTATTTGAAACAGAGATTGATTGGAGAATGTGTCAAATCGTCGCGCGCGTTTATATTGTCGTTTTATCTTTCGCAATATATTTTATAATTTCTAATCGTTTTCAGAATGCTGACAGAGTGCTTGCAGTACTCGGGACGCGAGGTATGCAAAACTGATCAAATTTACCAACACCGATATGCATGCAAAACGCAACGTCAAACGATGAGAAAATCCGCTATGAAAATGCATACACGCGGGCTTGTCACACATACGTCCGGAACTGTCCCAGACTAACTGTCCGGGATTTCAATAAATCTGATATTTTATTTTTTTATCTTTAATATTTTAAAAATATAAAGATATAAAACACTCGAGTATATATATTGAAATATTGGATAAATAGTAAATAAAAAATTTGATTCTTTTTTATATCAAGTTGAAATGTAGATAATGTGATTGTAAAAGTATATTAATTTTTTTTATGTCTCGAAAAACACATGTGCGTGAGAAATATTGCACGATACTATTCGTGACACTTGCATGTTAACTAATATTTGACAATGGAAAAAAGAAACTCCCGCCTCTCGACTATCCTATCCCTCGACAAGCGTTCCGGAGGATTGGGTCATAAAAATAACGACAAGCCTACATATATGCGTGTGTTCCGCTGGGTGTGGTCACACACGTGTTGCGTGTCAGGGCCAATATCGCGCGATATATGTGTAATGTACCCATACAAAGCGAGGTAAAAGGGAGCGTCTGTGCGACCGTTTCGATCAGTGCGCGAATTCCGAGCTGACGAATAAAAAAAAAAAAAGAGTTGCTCCCAGTCGAACAGAGGAGATTGGCGCACGTACTCGAAACCCATTCGAACAGATACCAAGAC